TTTTACAGCCATCATGTCATTTACTTCTTTCTGATTTGTAAAAAAGTAAGCGCCTAAACTAAACTTGTAAAACTTCCCCTGTCATTTGGTCGTTTTTGAACAGAGCAGCCATATTACTGTCAAACCCCAGAAGAAGACATAAGGATCGCTTTGAAAGATTTGAGATAGAGGAACAATCTGTTCCCCCATTCTCTGATCTTGGCAGTTAACCGGTTGGAGGCTCCAGTTAGCTTCAGCAACCCTCAGCGAGGGGGGTAGAGACCAGCTGCGCTTCTCACTCCAGATGGCTATCCTAACACCAGAACTGAAGTAGACCGTTCTCTCAAATTATTGCACCATTCACTTGGATCAATGTTTCCTAAACCTCTTTCCCACTGTGACCCTGTAGTGCGACTTGAAAACTGTCATGACCCTTCAGTGAAAGCTGTAAGGGTGAAGTAGGGGGAACTTTTCGAGCAGGAGCTCCACCATTCTAACTCGATCAAAGTCCCAGGGCGACCATGGCTGCCTCCGAGCTCGAGACCCCAAAATTCCAACTCTTAATCCCACTTGGGGTCCTGAGCTCCTCTTTGGAAAGCCCTGTGCTGATCTGCATCTTAACTCCAAATACCCACACTGTCTTTTGTGTGAAAATCATCATCCCTGAGCATTGTAGCTCTAATTGTAAGATTAGGCTACAACGGGATTCAAGTCCTGAGAATCTTGTATGTTGTATACAATAAGGTGTCAAGGTTATACTTCAGGAACAGTTGCAGTTTAAGAGTTATAGAGAGCAGTTCTGAGCAGTTCTGTGTGATGTTATTTTTAAATCTCTGTATGTTTTATTTCCAAAGCACACTTTTTGGATAAGATAGTTAAAGGTACTGCATGTTTTTTTTCCTCTGATTTTGTTATGCTGTCCCTGTGTATACAGTAAATAAGTAACCAAATTTTTTACATATTTCTATCATGGTTTCATTATTCAGGCTTTTGACAGATAATATATTAATGAGGCATTTATACGGAGTTATGTCTACAATATTTTTACAGCAATTAGTACCTGAAAATTTTGAAAGTCAATTAGCTGGAAATAGATTTGCTTCAGATTCATTTGCTGTCTCATTGTTGTTGGTGGTACACATGCTAACTCACGTACTGTAGCACTGCAAAATTGCTCAAAAGTAACTGAGAACAGTTCATCCCTGTTACACATTAGTTGATGCAGTGAGAAAAAAAATGAGTCACAGAATGCAAAATTTTGGAGGAGTAATTTCATCATGGAAGAAGAAATCATTCGTAACAACGTCAAGTACTGTTTGCAGCTTTGTGTGAAACTGTTAAGTGGCTTGGGGTAAATTTAATACAGGTTTAATGATCATGCTGCCTCATCATTCATGGATAATATTTATGTGTTTGTTAACAGAGTTTCTGAAATATGTTACTTAGTTTGTAGAAATGTTCCTACAGCTGCATTTCCAGGCATGTCTTACTTAAGCTGTTAGCCTCGACAATAAAACCTGACTTCATTATTAAGAGCATCAGGAGGAGTTTTGTTCGACTCACTCACATCTTTGTAACTGCGAGCATCCTTTTTCTTCTGTTTGTATAAATACAGATTCTGAATATGCCATTATTTTTAATTATGTTTCCACAATTTTCCTCCTTGTCCATAATAGCAGACAAGATAGGATACAAAGGTAAAGACAAAAGCCCTAGGGAGATTGTTACAAACAATCCCTCTCCGCTATCTGTCTTCAAGCACGTCATTTAGCGTGAATTTTTTTCTTAAATTTTAAGTTGTTTTAATTTATTTTTTCTGTTCAGGCTTTTAGTCTATGTTTATTGTGGTTCTTATGGTTATTACATTCTGTCTGTCTTAAGTTGTTCAACATGCCAAGCTGCTGTTTCTGTTGAAAACCTTGCCAGTCCCATTCAGTCCATCCGCAGTCTTAATTAGGTGTTCAGCGCTCTCACTGTTTCCTAGCCTTTGCTTACTCCTTTGAAAGGAATGTGAATTTTCAAAGCTGAAAGATTTTTTTTTTCTTTTTATAATCGATAAAGTATAACTGTAAATACCTTACCTATGCTTTGTTCATCTGTTTCAGTTGCCATAATTTCACATGAATAAGAAGAAACTTGAAAGCCCCACAATAAAGAGAGATACCCTCTGCACTTTGAGAGGATAATGGCAGGAGACAGAAATAAATATGGTTCTTCCCCCCAAATGGCTAAAGCTGAATTGGTGTGCTGAAAGGGCAGAGTCGAGGTGGGGGGCTGGGGGTTGCTGGTAGGTAATGTGTGTCAAGCAAACTGTCCTACCCTCTTGTGTTGAGAAGCTGTCTCCAAGAGAATAAACACAGATGAAAATGGAAAGAAAGAATGCCATTTTAGAAAATGTATGTAAGGTCCACTAATTTTTCAGAAACAAATCTCAAAGTTTTAAGTTTAGGTTTGCTGAAACCCAATGCATACAAACTCCCACCTGACATAGATCTAGAGCACATAGAGCCAGATTGAATTCCTAATCAGTTCTTTATGCCCCTATCTCTGCACAAATGCCAATTAGGGGCTGCACTTGGCTTCAGTTTCTTTTCTGTCAGCTAGGAAAAGGAACATCAGTGCCAGTTTTCATCCCGGATTGTTGGAGGAACAGAGTTAAGTGATTCAACACTGGAACCAGTCCTGCCATTCATACAGATGGTGGCTGCTCAGTATTTTAACTCCATCCGCCCACCTTGAATATCCTCACCTAACAAAAATTTACCCCATCACTGTTTTGAAATTTTCAAGTGACCTAACTTTGATTGGAGAGAGTTCCAGATTTCTACAATCCTTCGAGTGAAGAAATACTTCCAGGAGTCGTTTCTATATAACCTGCTTCTGGACTTAAGGCTTTTTTCAATTTTTACTGGACTCTCTCCACTGCTGGAGATAGTTTCTGCTTATCTATCCCATCAAATTAAATGATTACCTTAAATGCCTCAATTTTCATTAGATCATCACTTAATGATTTATAAGCAAGGAATGGTGGATCTGTCCAGTGACTCCTGCTGGATCAAGCATATCTGTGAGGATTTTTATTAGACTAGGGCTGCATTGAGAGGTCCTTCAGAGTTAACTATCTAGCCTCACCCATGAAGAATATCCAGAATGAGGATCTTGGAGGATGGGTCAGCTGGCATCTGTGGAACCTTATGCCAGCTTGAGGGAAGGATTTTTGGAAACGAAGAGGTGAAAATTGGTGAAGTGAAAGAAAATAATGTTCAGCATTCCATACTGCTGCTGTAGAAACATGCAATGGCACAGTTGTTCATCCAAGATCAGAATGGTTCATGAGGAAAGCCAATACATTCCAACAGAAGTGGAAAATGCTAAAATTCCAGCATTTTGAAGTTGCATGTTTCCACTCTGTACCTATTTACAATGGGTAAAGGACCTTTCAGGTCAGGTATGATAGACATACCTCAGATACAACCCCTATGGCCGCAAACAGATTGGGCCATGTTTTCCTGACACATGTCTAGCTTCAGGGAGGTAACTAACTGCACTAAGGAAGCTACTGACCAACCATTTGTTGCTTTTGGTTTTATTTTCTTTGTATTGAATAACCAAACTCCCCACTGCCCCACCGTCTGCCCCTTCCCCAGTTGTAAGGTCGCTGACCCTGAGGAGCTCTTCCCTGGCCCACTGTGAAACAGAAATTGTTGGAAAGGCTCAGCAGGTCTGGCAGCATCTGTGGAGAGAAATCAGAGTTAATGTTTCGGGTTCACTGACCTTTCCTCGGAACTGGATGGAGAATTGGTAGATGCATGAAATGCCCTTCATGTTTCTCACTTTTTTAACCTTCCCGGATTCCCTCACTCACAAGGGAATCTTTCTGCTGGAGCCAGTGTTCAGTTCTTCGATTTCTGTTGTAATATTTGTAATTGGTTGTGTTGTAAGGCATTTTTTGCCTTTTCAAAACTTGATGGCTAAATTTGGAGTTTTAGAATGCTAAAAATACTCTCATGTTCAGTAGACAGTCAGAAATTCCATGTTTGGAATAGTAAAAGAACAGAGAGTCTTCCCAGTCCTCATCAGCAGCCAAGATTCCTCTGTATTTCAGGGAACCTCGACTCAGTCCAGTAGTCACTTTGCCGATACTATGAGTGCCTCAGAACCATTGATTTATGGTGAATGTTGGCCATCTCTTCACGGTGACTTTGTAATGGATAGAACTGCAATTCATTATCTTTCTTCAGAAACAACAGTAATGGAATCTTTAACTCCTCGCCTTAACTGAACTTGAATCCAATTCTGAAAGGTGGAAAGGTACCATTTTATGTAGTAACACAGAGTTTAGCCGAGAGAAACCCACGTGCACAGTTTGCTTGGATTTGCTCCCACTCCATCACCATCATTTTACTGGAAGAACAGCAGAAAGCCGAATCAGCCAAGTTGTGGTCACTGTTATGAGGAAATCCCAATGACCTTGCATTCAGGGGATCCCTTCAACTGAATTTTCCTAGAATGAGAATAAAATTTCACTTTATTGTCATCATTATAAAAGACCTTTGGTTGTATAATTCACACTTCTTTCCATTACTTTCTTTATTCTATTGTCACTCTTATTAGCGCACACCGGATTCATATATTTGGTTTCCTTGGTGACCATATTATTCAAAAGAATTACAAGATAACTTGAAATTCCTTATAAGATCCCCGTTTGTAGCATAATCGAAATGTAACTTCACTGTACTCCACCACCCAATTGGGAGATGCATAGATTACACATTTGGATCCAATATAGCAACTACCATTCAGCCAATGACTTTGCTGCTCTTTAGAGCTAAAGGGTACTTGTGTCTTTCAAAGAGTGACATACATTTGCATTGCAGAAGGGTACAGTTTATCCATGTGAAATTATGGTCTCTGTGCTTCAATAAAAGGCTTGTAGCTAGTGAACTTCCATTAGTGTTTATTTGCATGCCAAAGCATTAGAGCAATGTGTTTAGTATTTATCCTCTGTATTCTTTTCTCAGAGGGTTGCCCTGGCCTTTGCAATAGTAATGGAAGGTGTACCCTTGACCAAAATGGTTGGCATTGTGTTTGCCAGATGGGGTGGAGAGGTGCCGGGTGTGATGTTGCCATGGAGACTGCATGCTCTGATAGCAAGGACAACGAAGGAGGTAAGAACACAGATTTTCAACCCTTGCAACTGGTCATGCCTGAAATGCAAGTTGACACCAATGAAATGAAACATTTATACAGCTTTTCTGCAAACTGCTGGTTTCTTTGGAGGAATGTTTTGATACTCTTTGGAGCCTTCATGCATGTTAAACAGACGCAATTAAAATAAATCATTGAGTTGAGCCATGTACAGCTCAAATACAATTTTATAGCAAAGGCGAATAAATGGTGTTGGAGAATCGCAGCGAAACCATTTCAACATGTTGCTGTATTAATGTCAGGAGGTAGGAATCAAATTCCTGTCAGTAGCAGCATATCGGTGCATTATTTCATGTGATAATATAAATTTTAAAAAGCACCTTCTTAATTCCAGCAAAAATCCTTCAGTGGTCTCATTTCTCATAGACACTGGTCGCTAACTTATACTCAAAGTAAATGGGCAATATTATTCTCTTGGTTAACATTGACAGACTGTTTAAGCCACAACCTGCTGTCATGCATTATCTGCATAAGCGTTTCCAGCACTTCGGCTCAATGGCAATAACATTCCTGTATAGTGAAGACCAATGTTATATCTGTTCCACAAATCCAGTTAAAATCAGCTAATTTAACTTGAAAGAGGGATCAAAGCTGGAGCCTTGCACCCTCTCCTTTCTCTCGCCCCTCCCCCCCACCACAGACAGACACACACGCACACACACACACAAAATCTCACACACGCACACACACACACACACACACACACACACACACATCCTACACACATTGCTGTTACTGGGAAATCTTTTGAGCCTTTAGAGAATTCTAAAATATACGTTTTAATGAACAGGGCAATCTGATACTTGTACTCGGATTGGAAGAGATTGGACAAATTAAATCAGTAGCATTGAAATACTCCCAAGGATTAACTTTTCACACAAAGCAAGCTTTTAGTAATGTCAACTGTTTGATGCAGTGGAATGCTAAATTGTCTCCTTGTGAGATATTTTTGAAGAAGGCCTCCATCTCTTTAAAAATGGTCAACCGCTTAAGAGTTCTAACAAACTCAAATCTCTGAGAAAATGATCATGACATTTAGGATGACTAGAAATTCGGGAGTTGCATCACCTTTTTGTTGCAGACATGTTTCCCAGCATGCAGGATATCAGGTGGTACACCTTGTTTGAAATAATAAAACAGTTCACTGCAACACTTACTTGGAAGCTGAGATAACAAGGTGTAGAGCTGGATGAACACAGCAGGCCAAGCAGCATCAGAGGAGCAGGAAGGCTGA